ACAGATTTCTTATTTGTTACTGGAAATATATCACGATACCTTTCAAATACGGTGTTGTATTGAAATTACTTTTATATATAAATATAATAAAATTTTAGGAACATAATAAATTACATAAACTATGTTCATATGTAGGTAAAAATCGATTAAATATGAACACAGTATCATAATTTGCTACATAAATCATCCCATTATAATAGATCTGGGTCTGTAGCTCGGGCTTCGTAAAGATAACAAAATTCGCATTTATTCTACGTACATACAAGGCACCCTTTAATAGTAGATCCTCTTGATAAGATCTACATACAAGGTACCCTTTGATAGTAGATCCTCCTTCAGAAGACCCTGAGAGGTCTAAAGATAGGTTTAAAGTAAGAGACTCCGGATGGTTTATGCAGCAAATTACGGTAAATTGAAAATAGCAGTAATACAGAAACCTCACCCAATAAAAAAACTTACCCTAAATTATAAACACTATTATCATTTCCAGAAGTTTTCTTACCCCAAATACCAACCAAATCTTTTTGTTTAATTTCCTCGGGCGTATCTATAGTGGCTTTACAAACGTTCAACTTAAATTTATAATTGAAATCTTTTTTGGGTTCAACCTCCCAGTCTCTGCATTTGAAAAAAAAAAAAAAATTTTATTATATAAATATATTTGGCCGTTCTGTAGAGAATATTCTAAGGTGACTGCTCGTTAGGAAAAAAGTCACGCACTTTGAAGTTTTCGTCAAGGGTGACAAGTCATATTGTTGTGAATCAACACCGGTGACTTTACAGCCAGCTCCCGAACTGCCCTCAGCTTTTACATAAGTATACAACGTGGTACAAATATATAACCAAAATATTAACGCTCTAAAAAAATTTCGAACTGATGGGAAGCGGAATGACCCATGTATCATTTCTTTTTTTTTTATGTAAAAGAGGCAACGATCCTATTCAACTGTGCTTCCAATGGTAAAAAAAGTTAGTTGGAAGCTTCCAATCCAATTAATTTTATTAAGAATATGCTTCCAATTCTTCCAATAGTGCTCCCAATAAGTACTTCCAATGAGTGCTTCCAATGTTTCAACTCTCACAACTGCGAAAGCTAGTCGGAAGATGCCGATCTAAAGTTGGAGCCGGTTTTATTTTTCATGTGGGGACGCCCACAGCAAAAGCGACGGGACTATATTTTATATAGTCCCATCCCCATATGTTAAAACCTGATTTAGCATATTAATATGAAAAAATAAACCGGTTCTAAACTCTGCTGATCTTCACAAGGGCTCGGATCTTACGATTTTTACTAAATCACATGATCCACATCTTATCAATAAAATTTATTCTCGAATCTCGTTGAATCTTCGAACACGTATAATATGGCATTCCCAAATAAAGAACCAGTTCCTAAGGAAGTAGTCTATATGCAAATGGTTCAAGATTCATGTATTTTCAAAACTGTTCTAAGTGGTGTAGCAGGTAAAGCTAAAACAAAGTAGTCCCTTATCCGATACTTCACCTATTAATCATGTTCTCATAAAAACAGGATTTGCACTTGGAGGAGTGTTCGGGATGTTCCTTTCCTCCTTCGAAATGGGAACA